TTCATTCAAAGAGAAAATTTAAAAATAAGGAAGATGGTGAAAATACAATTATGAATAAACATGAACCCATAAAATATTCAATGAGCGCTAATGAAACCAGCTGTTTAAAATTATTCAAATACATTTTCCCAAGAATTGGATTATACGTTTTTAAAATCGTATTATTAATTGTGAATAATATAAAAGATTAAATTATAAAGAAAGAAAATATTTAAGTAAAATGGTGACATTTAATTAGTAAATTATGATTAATAATTTATATTAATATCATAAATATTTAATATATTAGTGAGTGCACTTACATTTATCACAGCCCTTGCGATGAAAAATGCCATCTCTGCTTTACACAAACTATCAAATTGCTGAAAATAAAGAAAATTTGGTCAATTTGTTGGATATTGAAATTATCTAGACTATCAAGGCATAATTATGATTATTATAATAATTGATAAAAATATATAATAATTAATCAAATAGAATGCACCAACCTAATAAAGTTTATACAAAGTCAAATTGTAAGAAGATATCTTCCAAAAAGATAAAAACTACTAGGAGTATTCTGAATAAATTTCTGAAAGATTTTGAAATTTGGTTTGAACCGTATAAGTGTACTTAAAAATTAAAATCAATATTGGCAAGGAACCTAAAAAAATGAAACAAAATTTGTTCTTATTATTAAAATATCTATAAAATATCTGATAATATAATGAGCATATGTCTAATGATCATTTTAGACCTCTAATTTTTTTAACATTTTCCTCTGTTTCCGAAACGCTAGACTGCCTACCCAATAAATTAACTAATTTTTCATTTCGTCAATACAAATAAAATGTGTTTTTGAATCATTCAAATCGGGCACCCCATTATCTCAAAAACTGAATTACCAATAATGACACTTTTTGCCTCCGAATCTTTGAAACGCTTCGACCTGTCTTCGCCAAAAACATTCATCAGTAGGAATCAAATGTTTTTTGAATCATTCAAATCGGTTGATCCATGCGCCTGAAAGCGTGGACAAAAATTGTATCTAATACACACACACATATATCCATTTTTCTAAAATATTTAGAAGTATTTAGGTTTTCATTTTCGTTTTTTGCGATTACTACTAACTTACCCTACGGGAGTTAAATATTATTTTCAACTTTTGAAATTTGAAAATGATTGAAATTATTTTTAATAATTAATTTTAATGAAATGTGTTTACCGATCTTGACATTTTCCTTGTGGTATTTTGCTTGTGAAAACATAAATACAATTATAACATAATTATTGTTTTTCTTATAACTTCCCTCTCAAGTTATAAGGATTTTATATAATTGGTCAGTTACAAACTTAAAATTGTGAATCGAAGTTTTAGAAATCTGTCTATCGATGGAAAAATTAAGCTAACAAACATTTGAAAAGGGCTGAAATATGATCAATATATCTTTCAAATCATAAACATTATCCGCGTAAATCTATTATGATCCTTAAATATCGCACTTGATTAAATAGCCTTAGGAAGATATCTTTTAGTTTAGTTTGTTTTCGAAGCTTTTGCATCCGTTTCTCTCATTTATTTCATGGTGTAGAATCTCTTCGGAAGAGATTGGATTTTTGTTAACCTTCCACCCCCGTTTTACATTTATGCATAGCCCTCTTTCCTTTTCCAGAAGGTTAATGCCAGTTTCTTTAAGGGTTAGGATTTGTATTTTATTCGAATTGTTTACCTATTTTGAGATTTATATCGGATAAACTATGCTATTTGTCTTCAAAAACTGATGCACCGACATATAATGATGACCCACATTTTTATTGCTCATTTCTTTGATATGATAATAATTAATTGATAAGAGTTGATAGCACTTAAATCCATGGGATGATCTCACACTGTTGATAATATTATTGCCAAATATATTACTGATTTTTCTAAGTTTTATTCTTTATTTGCATCATTCGTATACGTTTTATTTATACGTTAAGGCTAACATTTAAACTAAAGTACAATGAGAAAATCCACTAAATACAGTTTATATGATGAAGTTATTTAAAATCAAATGTGTGTATAAAATGTATTGAACAATATTGAAAAAAAAGTAATAGAGAAGGGCGGAGCACAAAAGTCCAGTTTGATTTTGAACAATTACATTGTGAAAACCAAACCAAAATATTATAACAAATAACACATATCAAATAAACAACTATCTGACAATGTTCAGTAAAAATCTCAGCTAATTCATCGTTCTAGAAATGTGTTTATTATGCTGTTTTACAAAAATTTGTAACGTAGTTTTTACCCCATAGGCGGGGTAAATTGGGACGTCCATGGTGCAAACAAATCCAAAGTTTTATTAGAGAGTTGTTACAAAATATTAGCTCAACCAATGCAAAATATAAATTTTATGGGTGCATTTTTTACAAAAATAACACTATAATTAACCTTGATCAGGTATTTCATCAACAGATTTAAAATAACTACTTATTAACAATTTATTTTACGCCTTTAGTTAATCCTTTGTACCAAACCCAGATGTAAGCTTTTATAGAGGTAATAAAAAAATTGTTAAATAAAATTTCAATTAAATATTTTAAAACTATGAAAAAAATAGTGAAATTATGAAGAGGAAATCAATCAATAAGAAATGTAATATCGTATTTACAAAGTGTATTTACAAAGGCGTTGAAAAGCATTACGAGGTAATGCATAACTTTGAAATATGAGTTAAATGAATAATGTTATCAAACTATACAATATGAATTTTGAAGTTTCCAAAGCAAGCAATATTTAAGAATTCCTATGCTTAACAGTGTGAAAATAATATTTTTGATTGATATTATTGTTCTATAAGCAATAATTATTGCCAAATTATATGCCTTTGATTATATTTTTTTATAAATAGTTGTTACTTAAAGAATTGACTAATACTAGATATAATGTGAAATTCAGTTACTATTGAAAATATGCAAATATAATTAAGTGATTCAATAATTCCAATTATTACAAAATCAAGTATCATTAAAAAAAATCATAATCATTTTTGCTTAACCGCATTTGAAATAAAAATAAACTGATAGAGAGTTAAGTTAATTGTATAAAATGAAGTTGTATTGAAATATTATTTGTATTTTGTATAATATCCAAATAACTCTATTTATTAAAGTATAAAATAACTTTATTTATTAATTTTATTTCTATGTAATTTTTCTTTATCTCAGCCCTGTTTCCGAACAATGCACATAAAAGCAAGTGACAAAAGAAAAGTCCCGAACGAGAAAATGGCACTTGGGCAGGTCCTAAGTGCCCATGATATTTTCGGTAAATTGATTTTATTGAAATATCTAAACGCGAATCTATTTCTGGGTCCTTTACCAGATGTTGTAATACAAAACATTTAAAAAAATCGGGACGGCTTATTTATTGCGGTCGAAAGACGTGCTTCAATTTTATGGTAAATATTCTGATTGACTATTTATAGAATCACAAGGGAAAAATATATATTCTGTTACGTTTTGTGTTTTATTTGGAAAAAAAGAAATATTTCTAATTATTGGATTCGGAATTTTATTAACTTATTTTGTTTTGTTTTCGCTATTGTTATCATTATTATATTTCACAAACAATGTTTCTAATGTAGTTCAGTTGCGCTAGATAATCATTGCATTACCTTCTATTATTTATTACTTTCTTTTTCCAACAATTATAGATGTTTTTTTGAATTTCCTCGAATTTAATACATAATATTGCGTAAATGTAGCATATTCAAATTTAAAATGATATCATTATTCTCTAAAAGCAAATAAAGGCAATGGGAAGGGTGTGTTTCTTCAGCAGGAAGGTATCTCTAAGTTTTATTTGCCATTAATCTACTTGAAATGGGGAAAAACAATTTTAATTCCAAATTATCTGCTAATTAAAGCTATCTACATTTATTTAACTTTTTTTTGGCTTCTTAATTGATGCCAATGGCTTGTCTCTTTAGAGCTTTAAACACTCGAAATCCAAAAGAGAAAAGGAAAAGACGTGCTAAATTCTCCTTTAAATTTTTATCCAAATCTACAAATTAAAATTTATGTGATTCATACATAAAAACTAAAATTACTTTATTACTAAGTTTTTACCAACGCCAGTTTTATAGTATGATGATATATGAAGACATTTACATCATTAAAACCTAAGCCTTTTATTACTAGACTCAGAATCCTATCCTATCATGAAAGGATGAAAAACAATGTTAAGCATCAAGAATATACTATATATCTCTCAGCACATTAATTGCTTTTTTTAACTTCCCGTAGGGTAAGTTATAGTAATCGTCCAAAAATCGAAATCAAAAATTTTTACATTTCTCGACGTTTTGAATGTTTCTGAACATTTTGGCATACCTCAGAAAAAATGGATGTGTGTGTGTGTGTGTGTGTGTGTGTGTTTTGTATGTCCGCGTTTTTCGTCCACGTTTTCGGGCGCACGGATCAACCGATTTGAATGGTTTAAAAAACATTCGATTCCTATTGATAGGGAGATGTGCTGATTAGTTTTTGGCAAAGGCAGGTCCAGCCGTTACGGAGATATGGAGCAAAGAGTGCAAAAAATAGAAAGCGAGTTTTTGAGAGAACGGATCAACCGATTTGAATGGTTTAAAAAACATTCGATTCCTATTGATAGGAAGATGTGCTGATTAGTTTTTGGCAAAGGTAGGCCTAGAGGTTTCGGAGATACAGAGCTAAATTAAAAAAAAATGGCTGTTTTTGAGAGAACTAAGCGTCCGATTTAAATGATTCAAAGAACTTTCTGCTTTTTTCAACAAAATAATTGATTTTGGAAAAAAAAATTTTTTGTTTCTAATTTTTTTTCAAAAAATTTTTTTTGTGATTTTGAATTAAAAATTCAAAAAATCACCCAAGCTAAGCACAGTCTAAGCGCCACTCTGGTACAAATGTTTACCCATGTGCGTTTAGACTGTTTGTGTATTGGAGCACTTTTCCAATTTTGTGAAAATTATTGAAAAATGTGAAAATGCCGCCAAGCTGAGCACAGTATAGGTGAAAATGTCGCACAGAATTATTTGCAAATGCGTTTAGACTGTGACTATGCGGGAGCACTTTTTCAATTTTGTGTAAATTTGGCAACTATTTTTTTTTTGGAATTTGATTCGAAATGAAATGACGATTGTTAATGTTCTGGAGATAAAAAATAAATTGATTTATTTATAATTAACTTTCCATAGGGTAAGTAATCGCAAAAAAATCGAAAATGAAAATTTTTATATATCTTCACGTTTCAGAGGTTTCTGAATATGTTGGCATACCTTGGAGAAAATTGATGTATGTGTGTGTGTGTGTGTGCGTGCATGTGTGTGTGTTCGGATACAAATTTTCGTCG